TTCTTGAAAAATAACTACATGATTTAAGGAATGTGTTGAATCTATAAATTCAGGGTGTTTTTTTGTGTGCATTTCTGTTTTGTTTTATTTTTATTTTTTTGATTTTCAGAGAAAAGGTCTCACTATGTAGCCCAAACTGGACTTTAGCTTGCTGCCTCTGTCCATGAAGTGCTGGAGCTGTGCATGCGTGCCACCGTGCCTAGCACCTCTCACTATGCTATAGTCACGTATTTTAAAGATAATTTTATATTTTATGTAAGTTACTTTACGTCATTGCACAGCGGGTTTCTCATGGACTTGCCACGCTCATCAACATTATCCTTTCTTCTCGTTCATTCTTCTTCCTCTCTGTTCCCTCTCTCCCACCTCCTCACCTCTGGCTGGTTCTCTTTTTGCCCCAGATATCCCCTGCTCAGTGTTCATGTCACATGTGCCCCATTACCCCCACCTTCCTCCTCTTTCCTAATCCCCCTTCCCTGTCTTGTGATCTTTTGTCTGAATTTGTGACTTAAACACACAGGGAGATAAAAGCAAATTTTATATGTAGCCTAAATTACGCATAAGAGAAAAAATATTTTTCCTGTTATGTCTAGCTTATTGTATGTGACATAATGGCTTCTAGTTCCATCCATTGTCTGGCAAGTGCCATGGCCTGTGATTCTTTTTTAGACCTAGGACTAGATTTGCTAATATTTTGTTGAGTAGTTTTGCATCTACGGTCATGAGGAACATTAGTCTGTAATTTTCTTTTGTTATAATATTTTTGTCCAGTTTTGAATTTAGAGTAATGTAGGCAGCCAGCAATGAATTAAGAAGTATTCCATCTGTCTCTGTCCCCTGGAGAAGACCGAACTTAACTGTTGTAATTTTTTTCCTTAAACAGTTGGTAGAATTCACAAGTGAACCCATGTGAATGAGATGCTCTTTCTGAGGGGAATTATCAGTTCTTGACTCAATTTATTTAGCAAGTGTGCATTTATTGAGAATATTTGTTATTTGTGGGACTTTTGCTGGATTGTTCAATAAATTGTTCCAGGTTATCTATTTTTTTTTTAAATTTTGGATCAGAGAGATTTTCATAAATTCCTTTCCTTGTCATTTTATTGTTCATGAAATCATAGTATTTTTGCCTTTTGATTTCTGAAATTAAATAAACCATTTCCTTGTTTCTGAAATGCCCTGGCTAAAGGTTTCTTGATTTTATGCTGCTGTGTTTCATTTATTTATTATTATTTTTGAGACAGGGTCTTACTATGTAGCCCTAGCTGGCCTGGAACTCGCTGTATTGACCAGGTTTGCTTGGAACCTCCCAGAAATCTCCCTGCCTCAGCCCCTGAATGTTGAGATTAGAGATAAGCAATACCACAGATGGCCTGGTCGATTCAAAGAATGACATTTTGGGGTCACTGTTTCCCTATTCACTTTGTATTTTCAGCTTTTCTGGTATTGCTCTTATTTTACTATTTTCTCCTTACTTTGTGTTTTAACTTGTTCTTTTTTTGTGTGTTTCCTAAGATGGAGGCTCAGCTTATTCATTTTGGATTTTTCTTCTTCCTTCTGGTCAAAGAATTGGATAATATAAAATTCTCTCTGAGCATTCTTTTCATTGTATTCCACAAATTTCCTAAGTTGTATTCTCATTTCCTTCATTAATTCCAGATATTTGTGACTTTCCTTTCTTGTATTAATTCCTTGACTCACTTATTTGTGGGCTCACAAAGTTGGTTATCTCTGTGTGTTTGGGGGACTATACGTCTTTCTGTTCTTAATTTTTTATTTATTTAATTCCTTGTATTATGAAAACATTATTTTGTTTCTGTACTTTAAATAAGTATGCTTATTGTTCACTACATGGTTTATTTTGGTGAATCTGCCATGTGAGGTTAAGAAGACTATATGTCCTGATGGTAGATGACATCATCTCTAGACGTTCATTGTATGCAGTTAATTGAGCTCTGAGGCAGTTGCATGTTTACCACGGTTGTGCTTGCTACATCTATTTATTACTAGTGGAGGGCTGTTACAATCTCCAGCTGCAATAATAGATCTATTTCTTCTTGGTGTTATATATTACATTTTGCCTCATGTATTCATGTTGTATTATTTGACACATATATATTAAGGATTATTATATCATTTTGAACAATATTTTTTTAATTCCCGATTATTTTTATTGCCTTAATGTTTGGTCTATCTGAAATTAATGTAGCAAACCAGTTTTATTTTGCATAGTATCTGCGTGGCATGCCTTTCCCTATTTCTTTACATTTATAAGTGGGCTTATTCCATAGAGCTAAAGCCGCCTCGTTTTAACATACACTAGAGAAATGACAACCTTTTAAAACAAATGTGGCTGGGAAAACAGAATATCTGCACGAGATAAATGAACACTAAATCCATATTTGTCACCCTGCACAAAGAAATAACTAAAAGTGGATCACAGACCCTAATGTAAGACCTGGAACTTTAACTTAACGGTGCTAAGAGACCTCACAATATAGACATGAGCAACGACGTTCTCAAAAGAACTCCAGCAGCTCAGGAAAGACCCTAGGAACTGGCCTAGTGCAGCAAGTGCTTGCTGCACAAGCATGTGGATCCCAGTTTGGATCCCAGCATTCACATTAGCTGGGCTCGGCAGTGGTGCACATCTGTAACTCTGCGGTGTGGTGGTGGAGGGGAAGTCATGGAGACTGGTGGAGCCTGAGGGCTCACCAGCCAGCCTTTCTAGCCAAAATGAATAATAGCTCCAGGTCTACAGAAACCCTATCTTAAAAAATTAAGGTGGAGAGGGGTAGGGGAAAAATACCATATACTGGCCTTTGTCTTCCACATGTACATGTATGGGTAAATGTATTCACATACAGATATGCACGCATGCATACACAGCATGCATGCACATGCACACACACACACATACGCACAAAGAAGAAATAGAAATGGTGACTAAATACTGAAAAATGTGTTCAACATCCTTAGCTATAATAGCAATAGCCACAATCCTGCCGTGCATGTGAACAGAGAGGAGCCCTGATTCACTACTGGAATGTAAGAAGGTGTAGCTGATGTGGAAGTCAGTGTGGAGACTCCACGGAATATTGAAACTAGCCCTACCATATGACCCAGCTCTATCATGCCTGGATATATATCTGAAAGACTCTAAATCCTACTACAGAGATATTACACATACATATTTATTGCTGTACTCTTCAGAACTGCTAGTAAATGGAGGCAACTGAGATCTCCACTAGCAAATGAATGGCAAAATAAAATGTGTTGCATATACATAAAAATGTTTTATTTGGGCATAAAAATGAAATAATGACCATTGCTGGAAAACAGGTGAAACTGAAAATAATTATGTTATAAGAAATGATCCAGACTGATAAAGACAAGCACCACATGTCTCTCATATCTGAAATCTAGGCTTAAATTTACGTGTGTGTGTGTGTGTGTGTGTGTGTGTGTGTGTGTGTGTGTGTGTGTGTGTTGGAGCAGAAGGAAAATTATTGGCTGGGATGAAGAGCTCATGACAGAGGTGGAAAAGAGAGGGTAATAGTATTTATTTGAAATGAGAACAGACAGGAGGATGTTGGTATGGAAAGGAAGGGGGCCAGGCTGAGGTTCATGGAGCAGAGAGGGAGCTGTGGGAGAGGAGAATGAACTAGCAGAATATAATAACAGGTATGTATAAGAATGCCATGATGAAACACATTACTTTGTGAGTTTAGTTAAATTAATTAAGTGATTTGATCCCTAGCACTGCCTAAAATGAGCTGGTGGAGGTCCATAGGCCTGTAATCATAGCTACTCCAGAGACAGAAGCTGGAGGACCAGGACTCAAGTTCACTATCAGCCTGAGATGGCTGGGCTACATGAGACCAGTTAATCCACATGAGTCTGTTCTGTTTATATTTTATGCCCATTGCCTTTAAATTATTACTGCTTCATAGTACCGACTTTATCTCAGCTTTTTTTTAAAAATTAGTTTTTAAAAGAGATTTATTTGGTTTATGTGTTCAAGTGACTTGCCTGCATGCCTGTGTGTGCACCAGAGGCATACATGTTGCCCTCAGAGGTGAAGACACCAGCTCTCCCCCACACCTGGAGTTATAGGCAGTTGTAAGCTGCCATTTGGGTGTTAGTAATTGCAACAGGCACTTTTGACTGCCAAGGCATCCTTCCAGCCCTCAACTGCTTTTTAAACAGAACTAGCCAAGCAGGTGTATTAAAATTAACTACAGTGGACTCCCATAAGCTTGAAACAAACAAACAAACAAACAAAACACATGAGCTTTAAATATTTTGCCATTTTTTTTCAGTTGCTCTTAAAACTATATAAATTCCTACTTCCCTGTTTGTTTTAGTGGGTAAGGTTGTTTGCTATCTGGTTCCCATTTAGGCGAGGTGTGTAATCACCTGCCTCCCTGTTAATTTTATTGCGTGCCTGCAGACTTTCAGGATATTAGAAACAACGCTGTTGAGCATAGCTTAAAGCAAATGCATTTGAGTCAACATATAACTGCTTTAGGTCCCAAGTATTTTGACAACCTGCCTCAGGAATGGCATGTAGAAAAAAAAAAAACTTTGGGGCTGATTTTGAGCAGCTGCAAGACAGGCAAACCAGTCTGAGTGATGTAAGCTTCTTGCTCTGGGTTTACCTCTCTAAGCCACACTTCCTAGTCAGAGTACAAAGCCCAATTGTGCGCCAGATGCCTGCAGTCCTGATTTACATTTCCCCCGCCAAGTAGCAGAGACATTCTCATTCTCACCCTCAAGCTGTAGTGACTAGTGACAGCGTAAGGTAAGAGCTAAACTCCTCAATGACTCTGTGGTGGGAGAGAAGAGAGAGTTGAGAGAGGAAAAACCTACCGTCACAAGATGTTTCTGGTATGTGTGGACTGGTTTTCATATTTTTAATTTGTCTCAGTGAAACAGTGAGATGCCATAGGGGATGCTTATTTTTTTTTTTTTTACCTTTTTTATCATTTTATTTCTAGGTGGAACACCAGTATTCCCATAAATTCACGGTTGTGGTTCTAAGTGCCACCAAAGTAACCAAGGGGACCTTTGGTGATATGCGTGAGTACTCGGTTTGTTGTGTGGGTGGCGATGGGGACCATGGCTCAGGAGGTGGGGGCGCTTACTGTCCAGTTGCTCGGTGCCTTGACAAGCCAGGAGTGTCCCCCTCCTTCACTGGGGTTATCTATGAATGATATCAGTTCGGACCGTTCTGGTGCTGCTCGTCATCTGTCAGAAGAGCCCTTCACTTTGACTTGAGCCGGGAGCAGCTTCAGCCAGACAGCATGACAATCCTGTGACATAGCTCTGTGGAATTCCAAGTTCTGTTTCATCCTATGTGGGAAGAGTGCTGAGTCAGGGCTTCAGACAGACTGCCTCCGTGAGGTATTGTGCTTACGGGATTAAGAAGTGCAGTGCGCGGGATCCGTCTGCCGCGGAGTGTGTTTATTATGTATGGGATAGCTATAGAAACTGGTGCAGGGCAGGAGCCTGGGGATCATGTTGTATTAACGTGTTGGCTGTCTCCTTCTCTGTGCTCAATGAACAGCACTTTTCCTCATTCTTCTGAGAAGTCCAAAGATCACGCGTGTGGAGTGCAAAGAAACACGTAGAAATATGATGCTAGTGGATTTGTAAGTGTTTTGAGTGTTGCCATAGTCTGGGAATAGGTGGCTGAACCCTCAGAAGTGTTGGAGAACAATCAAAAGTATAATTTAAAATGGCGGGATACACGGGCAGCATCCTGCTGCTTGTTAGAGAAACACATCTCCCGTTTTGTTTTTTCCCCTGCTCTCGTTCCGCTCTCAGCGGAAGACTTCTGACACCAGGTGTGTGGGGATTTTCGCCACCAGCCGGTAGGTGACTGATTCTGAAATAGCAATCAGCAGTGTGTCCTCCTACTCAATTCAGTGGGACACAGCCTACCGGAAGCTGATTTTAGATCACACAGGTTGAGGACTGAGTTTCCAAGACTTCTTTCCTCTCCCCACTCACAAGCAAGTTGAAAGCTGCAGCTTTTTAAAAACAGGCTTCTAACCAACTTGTTAATGAGTAGACCTCCCTTAGCCCCCTTCCAGCATTCAATTCATTTACCCTGATAGTGGCTCATAGAGCTCAAGGAAATACTTACCTTTACCACTTTATTATGGAGACATCTGTAAGACCCTTAAATGAAGAGATACAGCCAGACAAGTTGATGTCACCTTTAATCCCAGCTCTCGAGAGGCAGAGGCAGGAGGATCTCTGTGAGTTCAAAGCCATTCTGGTCTACATTTTGAGTTATAGGACATCCAGGGCTATGTAGAGAGACTGTCTCAGAGAGAGAGAGAGAGAGAGAGACAGAGAGACAGAGAGACAGAGAGAGAGACAGAGACAGAGACACAGAGACACAGAGACAGAGAGACACAGAGACACAGAGACACAGAGACACAGAGACAGAGAGAGACACACAGAGAAACAGAGACAGAGAGATAGAGATACTCCACAGATCCAGGCATACAGAAGAGGGGAGAGCGTGCAGAGTTTCCCTGGCTTCTCTAGGCATCATCCTCTGGGAACTCCTCTAGTTCAGTAGTCTGATGGCTTTTCCAGGCCTGTCCTTTGGGACTTTGTAGAGATGCCATCACATCTTCTGCTGATAGAACTAGAACCCAGAAAGACCTATCTCCTTAAGAGTTCTTCTTGACCTACCTGGACATGATTGTGCCTCCAGGGTGTGAGGCAAGTCTCTTCTGCCATCAGCTGGGTCTTATGACATACTGTTTGCACTAGACTGGCTGGCCAAAGAGTTTCGTGATGGCCAAAGGGCAGAGGAGAGTTTCTGTGATGTGCCTCAAGGGGGGAACTCAAGTTTCTATGGCTTGTCTTGGAGAAGGGGTCATGGTACAGTAGCCACGGAGGAGAACAGGGTGTGCTTGATCTGAGCACATCTGTAGAGTGACACTGGATGGTGGTGAAGGGGGAGGAATCTCGGGCAGAAGGAATGTTGGGTGGAGACCGGCTAGAATAGGTCCCACATGGCTCGTGAGTGGAAACAAAGGTATAGACTAGATGGGCATGCAAGGCTTGGACAGCAAGCTCTGGGAAGACAGGGCCTGGGAGGGAGATTGTTGTCTACACGGCACGGAAGTGGCTAGTCACAGGACTGAGCTCTCACTCAAAATGTTCTGACAACAATACATTAGATACTTGAAAATAGTTGACTAGTTTGGAGAAGAATGAGGAAATGGTTTTGTTTTTGTTGTTAAAGAATAGGAAGGACTTGAGCGCTTACTTGACATATTGATGGTAAAGCCAAGAGAGAGGGGGACCTTAAATACTAAGAAAGGGTGTGAGGTCTGAGCCCCGGCCACCAGTGACTGTTGGAGAACCAGGAGGTTAGTGGATGTTAGGATCAAGGAGAATGAAGCTAGAAGCTAATGCTTTAAGAGAGCTGAGCATAACAATGGCAGTTTCCTTAAAACTAGTCAGAGTCACTGGTGTAGATGGTTGAACATTACATTTTTGTCTGCCCTGCCTAATGCCCCTTGTGAGTGTTGTCCTTTCACACTTCTTTGCCCCTTTGTCATTGTCAGTGAAGAGAGAGCGTACAGCAGGTACAAGGGCAGTGCCAACACCTACTATTTCTGACATTAGCAATCATGCCCTGGAGAGACCGGCAGCTCACTTGCTCTTGGCTGACCCAGAATCCTTCATCAAAAAGGCCTGGGAGTGGAGCAGGTCAACTGGTAGATGAAAAGGCCTTTCTTCCTTCTATTAAACACTGTGCCAGTACCTTGCCAGCCATGCAAACAATCAGCCTGATTTGACTCTTACAAACATAGCTATTCTCCCTTAGACAAAGCACCAACAGTCCTCTTGTATCAGTGCTGATTGTATTGTATAGACAATGGGTGTGGCCATGCTTAGGATGCAGCTCAGACTCACTGTGTGTATGTGTAAGTCAGAGTATAACTGTGTGGACTCTGATAGTCTAGACTAATAGTACAGATGCTGACCGTATGGACGCTGATAGTCTCAGCTGGTGTGGACTGGATTCCGTTGGAAGCTGAGATGACTGTTTATTGTGTTTAGTCAAGGAACTAGACTCGTGGGAATAATGCTGTGTTGATTTCTGTGCCTACAGTGGATGTGACACAGGTTAGACCATTGGGCTCCAGATGTGCCACTTTTAAAGCAAAGGGCACATGGGAGGAACAGCCACTGGGTATAAGTGAAAGGTCAGAGTTAAGGCTCCATGATCAAGTGGTTTTTCAGTGTTCCTAAGACCTGGAAGACCCAGAAAACAGAAATCCCTCTATTCCATTTGTTTTAGTTTAGGTATACAAGTGTTTTGTCTATGAGTATGTATGTGTCTGTAGAGGTTAGAAGAGGGAACTGGAGTCGCAGATGGTTGTGAGTCACCATGTAGATGCTGGGAATCCAACTTGCAAAAGTAGCAAGCACTCTGAATTGCCGAGGAACTCTCCAGCCCCACCCTATCTCCAACTTTATGCTACCTGCCTTCATTTAAAAGGTAAATTTCCATGAAGCTCTGCATGTTGGCAAAGAATGATGACTAGCATTTTGCTGTATGATGTGTTTTGAGGGGTGAGGTGGTGTTGCCAGCTTCTAGTATCAGTTAATGATGCTACGGAAGCAGGAATACCCAGGGAGAGAGCACAGATGGACCTTCAACACACAAAACAAAACAACTTCATGGCAAATTTGCCTGAAAAAGGAAGGCAGTAGACAGGGCCGAGTCTTTTCTTTTGAGAAGTTGTTGGAGGCTGCAGTAAGAAATGATGTAGGATCCTCCTCTGAGGTGATGAACTTGAGTGATCCAAATTACCAAGTAAGCCACATTTGACATATTTGCTTGCAGTAACTCTTGGGAAACAGACAAATATAGGAAACTATGAAAGTATTTGAAAAACCGTAAAACTATTACAAACATCTAAGACCCAGAAAGTCAGGATAGCAGAACCTTCCACCCTGTTCTGTTTTCTAGGGTCTTTATTTAAAAACAAATTTCCATTAAATTCTCCATAGGGTAAAGAAGAGGGAGAGAATGCAACTCTGTTGCTTTTGTGTGGTGGTCTTTCTCAAGGCGACCACATATCAGGTAGCTGTTTCTGTATCCTAATATACTTTGTTTTAGATAATACCAAGTTCATACTTACCTTTATTTTATCTACTGATGAATTATCCCATTCTTTTTTTTTTGTTTTGTTTTTAAAGAGATTTTTTCTGTGTAGCCTTTGCTGCCCTAGAACTCACTCTGTAGACCAGGCTGGCCTCATCCTCACAGAGATTCTCCTACCTTTGCTTCCTGAGTACTGAGATTAAAGGCATGCACTGCCACCACCACCGGTGAATTATCCAATTCTTAATAGCCCCACTTAGAAATGTTCTAATTTAAGTGTCATAATAAAATCAGAGGCATCCCATCAGCTACCTTTTTAGGGATGAGAGCTAACTGTTGTTTTGAGTGAGATTAATAATGAAGTTGACCTGGAACGCAACATGTAGCCAGGCAGACCTTGAACTTGCTATCTCCTATAACTGCCTCCTCAGTGCTGGAATAACAGGTGTATGCCACCACATCCTACTCCAAACTGACATTTTAGTCATAGCCCCTCCAAATTTGGGGCTTTTTGCCTTTGGGTCAGCCAAGATAACAAGATAGTTGTCAGTCTCTTCTGGGCATGACTGCTGATGTTAGAAGAATTAAATGTTGATACCACTGTGTATGTTTGTACCTCAGGTCACAGTGCCAACCACATTTGGTATTATTATTATGATCAAGGTTGTTAGAAGAGCAGTTTGAAGTTCAAATTTGCACCTGGCTGAAGATCATTGCTACATTCTGGTTTCTGAACTGGGTAGTTTGTGTCAAATTGGTAGACTCTTACTTTTGAGGTCACAGTCAGTTATTTTGGATGTGACATGTAACAGGCAGCATTCATGCACAGGCTAGGAGCTAAGTGTTGGTGGGTATGATACTCAGTTTGGCTTTATTCCTTTACTTTGCTAACAGAAGGTATGCATGTGAGCAATGGCCACAGTGATGGCAGGATTTC